TGTGTGTGTGTGTGTGTGTGTGTGTGTGTGTGTGTGTGTGTCACAGGCGCGTGTCACCACACCAGGCTTTCTTACCCACTTTCTGGTGCCATGGAAACCCACTTGCAGGCCCCACCCAGGTGTCCTGCTTCTGATGTTCCATAAATAAAAAGCAACTCCAATACCTTGTTCATCCCATGCATCCTCCTCGGCATTTCTGAAGAGCCCGGTGTCTTTGTTCTCTTTCTGTAACTTTGTGTCTCTGAACATGGAGACCCCAACCTTGTTTGCTTGCTGTCGCTCCACTTTCTTCCCGGAGGAAGAAAGAGAACGCGGGCTTTCATTCTCCCAACCCTCTCCCTCCCGCCATCCGTGCTTACATGTGTGTTTGATTCAGTGCCAGTTGGGGTGGGTCATGGGAACAAGTGTGTGGGGGAGGCGGGGCAATGCTGGTTTCTTTTGCGTTGTGAAGAGGCACTGACTCCAGCTTTGTTCCTGTCCTGCAGACATGAAGCTGCCTGGTGTGCTCCAGGATTGGTACAGTGACAACTGTCTGTGCTGAAATCGTCCTGAAAACTCAAACAGAAAGCTTCGGCATCCAAGGGAAGCCAGAGGCATTTGAGAGGGAATAAAGCCAAAAGCCAAGAATTTCACTGGCCAGTCCCTACCCACTCCGACAAGAAGTCGTTGCTCACAGGCAGACAGCATGGCTAGCAAACGGAAATCGACAACTCCGTGCATGGTTCGGACGTCCCAAGTCGTAGAGCAAGATGTGCCGGAGGGGACAGACAGGGCCAAAGACAGAGGAATGGGCATGCCACAATCCGATGTGGGCAAGGACAGCTGGGCAGCAGAACCTGAAATCTCGTCCAAAGACAACGAAGTGATAGAGGTAAAATCTGTGGGGGAAAGCCAGTCCAAAAAGCTCCAGGGTGGTTATGAGTGCAAATACTGCCCTTATTCCACACAGAATCTGAACGAGTTCACAGAACACGTAGACATGCAGCACCCCAATGTGATTCTCAACCCCCTGTATGTGTGTGCCGAATGTAACTTCACAACCAAAAAGTATGACTCCTTGTCTGACCACAACTCCAAGTTCCATCCGGGAGAGACCAATTTCAAACTGAAATTGATCAAACGCAATAACCAAACCGTCTTGGAACAGTCCATTGAAACCACCAACCATGTTGCGTCCTCCGCTGCCAGTGCTCCCGGAAGTGGTGACAATGACCCTGGGGTCTCCGTGGGTAAAATCCCCGTGACAAAGACAGGAAAACCCAAGGCAGATGCCAAGAAAGTGCCCAAGAAGCCTGATGAGGCTGCCCCCGAAAACCACATGGAAGGGACTGCCCGCCTGGTGACAGATACAGCTGAGATCCTGTCCAGACTTGGAAGCGTGGAGCTCCTTCAAGATTCGCTGGGACACGTCATGCCTTCTGTACAGCTGCCACCAAATATCAACCTTGTCCCCAAGGTCCCCGTCCCTCTGAATACTACCAAATACAACTCCGCCCTGGACACAAATGCCACCATGATCAATTCCTTCAACAAGTTCCCTTACCCAACCCAGGCTGAGCTCTCCTGGCTAACAGCTGCCTCTAAACACCCAGAGGAGCACATCAGGATCTGGTTTGCCACCCAGCGCTTAAAACATGGCATCAGCTGGTCCCCAGAAGAGGTGGAGGAGGCCCGCAAGAAGATGTTCAATGGCACCATTCAGTCCGTCCCCCCGACGATCACTGTGCTTCCTGCCCAGCTGGCCCCCACAAAAATGTCACAGCCCATCCTCCAGACAGCTCTGCCGTGCCAGATCCTAGGCCAGCCCAGCCTGGTGTTGACTCAAGTGACAAGCGGGTCAACGACCGTCTCTTGCTCCCCCATCACACTTGCCGTGGCTGGAGTGACCAACCATGGCCAGAAGAGACCCCTGGTGACTCCTCAGGCTGCCCCTGAGCCCAAGCGTCCACACATCGCCCAGGTGCCGGAACCTCCACCCAAGGTGGCCAACACCCCGCTCACCCCCGCTAGCGACCGCAAGAAGACCAAGTTGCAGATTGCGCACCTCAAGGCGAGCTTTTTACAGAGCCAGTTCCCTGACGACGCCGAGGTTTACCGGCTCATCGAAGTGACAGGCCTGGCCAGGAGCGAAATCAAAAAGTGGTTCAGTGACCACCGGTACCGATGTCAGAGGGGCATTGTACACATCACCAGCGAGTCCCTTGCCAAAGACCAGATGGCCATCGCAGGCACCCGGCACGGTCGCACCTATCACGTCTACCCAGACTTTGCCCCCCAGAAGTTCAAAGAGAAAAGCCAGGGACAGTTGAAAGTCCTGGAAGACAGCTTTCTGAAAAGCTCCTTCCCGACCCAGGCGGAAGTAGAGCGGCTGCGGGTGGAGACCAAGCTCAGCAGGAGGGAAATCCACTCCTGGTTCTCAGAGAGACGCAGGCTCCGAGACAGCATGGAGCAGGCCGTCTTGGATTCCATGGGACCTGGCAAAAAAGGCTCGGATGTGGTAGCCCCCAATGGTGCTCTGTCGCGACTTGAACAGCTCTCTGGTGCCCAGTTAGCTGGTCCCTTGCCCAGCTCTTCATCAGCAATTATACAGAATCAAGAACAGGTTCACCTGCTAAGGAGCACTTTCGCCAGAACCCAGTGGCCCACTCCTCAGGAGTATGACCAGTTAGCGGCCAAGACCGGGCTGGTCCGAACTGAGATTGTGCGCTGGTTCAAGGAGAACAGATGCTTACTGAAAACTGGAAGCTTGAGTTGGCTGGAGCAGTACCAACAGCATCACCTGCCGGATGATCACGGCCACGATGCAGTATCAAGGAAAGCCGGAAAACAAGTTGCTGAGAGCCCAAAGAACGGAAGCCAAGTGGCTCAACACTATGCCAAGGACCCCAAAGCGTTCTGCGAGGAGGACTCCGGCAAGCTGGTCCCCAGGGTGAAAGTGGGCGGCGAGCAAGCCAAGGACTGTTTGGCAGCCAAGCCCTCAGAGGCCCCCTCAGACAGATCAGAGGGCAGCAGCAGAGATGGCCAGGGCAGTGAGGAAAACGAGGAGTCGGGCATCGTAGACTTTGTGGAGGTGACAGTTGGAGAAGAGGATGCCATCTCAGAGAAATGGGACAGCTGGAGTCAGAGAGTAGCGGAAGGCACAGCGGACAGGCCCGACTCCGACTCCGACAGCGCCCCCGCGGAGGCCGGCCATGCCTAGACAGGTAATTCTGTCTGTTTACTCCAGAGGATGGGGGAGTGTGGATTCCCTTTTTTAATTGGCAGATTAATATAGACGGCGGGTTCCAAGATGGTGACTCAGACAATGTACTTCTTCTCGTTAACGTATTAATTGCCCATATATGTTGACACAAATCATCCCCATCAACCAGATATGTCATTGCCATGGTATATCCAAGTATTCTCATCAGAAACACCAAAGACTAGGGGGTCTTCAAATTTCAGGGGTTTTTTTTTTT